GGGGGCGGGGACCGCCACCGGCCAGTGTGGTACTGCAGCCCCTAGCCCACCCCTGGGAGCAGACCACGTCCTGTGGAGGCTTCCTCGTCCTCTCTCCTTGGGGGATTTGGGTTTGTCACCCATCTGTCCTGCTCTGATCCTCTTACAAACCATGGTCACGAGCTGCTCCGAGCCTGCCGGCAAGGTGCCAGAACGGAACCTGCAAGTTCTCCTGCGTATAGCTGTGTGCCCAGTTGTCCACTGGTGGGACGGGCTGAGGGACCCTGTGCTTGCGCAGGGCTGGAGCACGGGTCTCGGGGCTTCACTCCAGGTTTGGACCGGTGGCTGGAGTACCACAGAGCTTTGCTGTGCAGTGCCTGACATGATCCCTCTCTCCCCTTCCGCAGGTCCTCTGAGCACCCCCGTCCCCTTCCTGCAGAGCATCCCCATGTACCCCTGCACCGTCAGCAACTCCAGCGCGGAGAAGCGCAAGCACTCCACCGCCTTCCCCGAGGGCAGCTTCCTCGAGCCATCGTCCGGGACTGTGGCAAGCCAGTACATGAGCCAGGGCGCTTCGGCTGGCGAGGGGCAGTCCGCACAAGCCATGGTGCCTTGTAGCTCCACGCAGCACATAGTTGGACTTCCCAGCGGCCCGCAGCCGGTGCACTCGGGCTCCGTCTTCAACCCATCTCACTACCCCAACACCACGTCATCTCAGCAGTCCGTGCTCTCCCAGTACGGGGGGCGCAAAATCCTCGTCTGCTCCGTGGATAACTGTTACTGTTCCTCCGTGTCCAACCACAGCGGGCACCAGCCCTACCCGCGGTCGGGGCACTTCCCCTGGACGGTCTCCTCGCAGGAGTACTCCCACCCGCTGCCGCCCGCCCCTGCCGTCCCCCAGTCGCTCCCAGGACTTGCCGTGAGGGAATGGATTGACGCATCCCAGCAGCACGGGCGGCAGGATTTCTATAGGGTCTACGGCCAGCCGTCGGCGAAACACTACGTCACCAGTTAACCGTCACACTCTCTGGAGAGTCCCGTTCGATGACACGTTCGGAGAGAAAAGTCTGGTTTGGTTTGGCTTTTTTTTTCCCCTCCTTTTAAATCAAACCCAATTTTTTCCCCATCTCGCACCCCTCCAGGATTTTGGGGAGGGTTGTTTCTCATATTTCTTTCTTTTTTTTTTTATCCTTTTAAAATTAAATAATATTTTTTTTTCTTTTAATTCCTTTTTTTAATTTAATTTTGGAAAGTCCTTCCTGCCCCTCGCTGGGAAAAGACGAGGGAGAAATTACCAAGAAGAAATTGATGGGGATTTCAGTCGGGCGACTGGGTCTGTGCGTCGCACTCTTCCTCGCTCCTCTCTGCCTTTGGAAAACTTCAGAAGGGACAATGGCACCTTCTCTCTTTCCATTTCTCCGAGTTCATTTTTTCTGGTTTGGTTCAGTTTTTCCCCTTTCCTCACACCTCTCTTTCTCTTTTTAAAAAGAAAAAAAGAAAAATATCTATCATTGATTCAGTATGAAACGATACTTGTAGATTTTGGGTTTTTTATCTTTTTTTTTTTTAAAGGCTGATTTTTTTTTTTTTGTGTTACGAGGCCACTTCTTATGCATATTGGCATTTTTTTCCTTCTTCTTTCAGAGATTTGTAAATACACAATGGCAGGAAATTTAATGCACAAAAAAAAAAGGGAAAAGAAACTTTAAAAAAAAAAAAAAACACAAATAAATAAATAATAAAAAAATCTGTTCTAGTTTTCAGGAGGGGAAGCGTGGACGAAATGCACCCCCCCTCCTGCATATCGCTGATGCAACTTCCTGTAACAAGCACTTTGTATAAAAAAAAGTGGACTTCCTGCTATGAGGCACAGGTATTTATTCTGTAACCGATTTTAGAACACACACACACACAAAAAAATATTCAAATAAATGTGATCACTTAGTGCAAACGCCTCGCTCTGCTGCAGCTCTTCCCCCGGGAACGCCAGCTCTGGTGCGAGGCTCCCACCTGCTTTCGGAAGTGACCGCTCCCCGGGGCCCGTGGTGCCTGGCCGGATTTTTCCGGCAGGGCTGTTTTGGAGGGAGTAGCTCGGGTCTGGGTGGCAGTGGGTCCCAGCTGGGGAGGGGGTCCCCACTAGCCCCCGTCCCATGTCCCAGCCCCACAAGGAGGGGTGCCGGAGCCGTGGCGCTCCGCCGGCTCCCTCCCAGCCAGCGAGGATGTGAGTCAGGCGTGGAGCCAGCCGGGCTGCATCCTGCCCACGGCTTCCAGAACAATCCCCATTGTGGCATGGGGATGGAGACAGCGGCTTTCCTGCCTCCGCCGGCATCCACCGTGCAGGCCACGCTGCAGCCCCGGAACCCAGCCCTCGAGGCTTTGTCCCCAGTTGAAGCCCTGCTGCCCTGTGGGGCTCTGTGGGTGTTGGCAGCATCTCGGGCCGATTCAGGGACCCTCTGTGCTCAGCCGAGGCTGGGAAGGGTGAGGAGGAAGCCTTTGGCCAGGGCTGTGGCTGTGCAGGAGCGAGCTTTTCGTCTGGGGAAAATGGGGCTGACCTCATAAAGCAGAGCAGCGTCTTAGAGGCATTAGGGTTTTTCCATTGCTCGTTTTGGGCTTGGCTTCCTTAATTTTTTTCCTGGTTGCAAAACATCCCTAGTTTTGTTCCGGTTTGGATTCCCCCTATGCTGCTTCGATGGGAAACAGGAAGGGGATTGAGTCTCAGTGAGGAGAAACCAGGGGAGCAGCGGGTCCGAGGGAGGGGGACCCTCGCACCCCGCTGCCCCCATTCCACCCTGAGGGAGGTGGTAGTGAATCCCTTGTAAATACCCCCCCCCCCCCCCCTGTCCCCCCCCCAGCCACTCTCCAGGTCAGTGCCGCCCCACGCGCAGGGCACAGAGGCCACTGGCTCAGCCCCACTGCCAGGCTCTTCCCAGCCCCATCCTGCTTAGACGCTTTTCAGGAAACACCCAAAACGTTGGGATATTTGGGGGTTTGCTTCTCGGCCATGAGCAAAGCTCCCCAGGATGGCAGGAGGGAGCGGGATGCTCCCAGCCTCTGCTGCAGGCACCCCACGATGCCACCCCCCGTGGCCAGCTGCCGGGGGAAAGAGCCCTGGTGGTGACTGGGAGATTGAGGCAGGGGCGAAAAGTGATGTCCCTCTCCATGGAGGGGGGCCCAGGATGCACAACCAGGGCCACTCCCCACCCCAGAGTGCTCCCCAGCCACAGCCCCTGTGCCTGCTGCTCCCTTTGCCCTCCCAGCTGTTCTCATCATCATCCTCCTCTTCCTCCTTGGCACAGCTGCCTTCTCCGGCGCGAGCAGGCAGCTGCCAGCCCCAGGCAGGCATTAAAGCACCTGTCTCCTACAGACAGGATCACCCTGCAGGGTGGCCCTCCAGGGGCTTGAGACATGTCCCCACTGCAGGCCACCCTCGCCCTGCACCTTCCTTCACTGGAAGGAGCAGCCCCAAATCTCCGGGTGCCCCTCGCAGAGCCCGGGTGCCCCCCAGCCGGGAGGCCCCCACGTCCCGGCTACCTGCAGCGTCGCGCCCTCAAACCCTGCGCGTTGCTGGTGGCGGGGAGGGAGGCGGTGGCCCCCCAGGGTCACCCCCTGAGCAGGGAGAGGAACGCGTGCCTTTGGCCCGGTTGGGCTAACGGTGTCCCGGGAAGCGCCAACACTCGGGTGCACAGCGGGGCTTCATTGATGGATGGCTCTGTCCAAGGGTGGGAAAAGTGGGGGGAGCAGAGGCACATCCATAAACAGCTCGAGTTGTGAATGGAAAGAGACGGATTAGGAGCCGGGTGAAAACATGTCACACGGCGAAAAGAAAAATGAGCAGCTGGGCAAGGCCAAATTGGTGTCTGATGAAGGACGTGGGGCCTGGTGGAAAAGGATCCCGGGGCCGTGGTGCTGCTCAGGGAAGGCTGATGGGGAACAGCTGGAGCCGGACACACACATGTGGCAGAGCAGGGCGAGGGGAGAGGCGGCGGCGCGCCTGTGGCCACTGCGCTCAGGTCATGGGGCCATGGCTTGTCCTCTGAATCAGTGCCTCGAGAGGGGCTGAGGCTTCGTTTCTAGGTTGATCCTGGGGAGGGGGTGGCAGCCCCATGGCCCATCCCTTGGCAGGGATTTACCCGGTGGGGGTCAGGCTCTGCTGTGCCCAGGGGTTCCCAGGTGGAGGAGCCACTGCCTCTTTCTCCATTTGCATACATGTAAATAAGCAATCAACATAATGAGGGCAAATGCAAACCAGGCTTTCCGTTTGCAACCAAGTCCTATTTTTAACCTTGGAAAAAGGTTTCGGCAGGAAGCTGCAGGTCCCGCTCCGGTATCTGTCGGCACGTCCAGCTGCATGGGTGCTCGCACCGATTCCTCGCCCTAATGCGCTGCTGACCGCATGGCCACCGTCAGTACTCGCCGTTCTCCGCTCCCGTTACCCAAGGAAACAGAAATCTCACATCTTTGCAGAAAGACAGACACCGCGACATCGCACCCCGGCTCGTGGGAGCTTAGTCAGGCATCTCTCCCACCGGCTGAGCCCCTGGGTCCCACTTCAAGCTGGGGCGTGCGCCTGGGGATCCCCCCTGGCACCCCCGGAGTGAGGCCCCATGCTTAAACATGAGGGGTATATTTAGACAGCGTCAATTTAAGTTCGTACATCAACCTTATAAATATGAAAGCTCATCTCAGCGAGATGTTTAAGATACCTCATCAGCCCTTGGAAAATATGCAGGAATATTAATTAGCCAGATTTGAGTATTATCTCTTCATGAACAAATGAAGAGACTCACTGCCTAAGACGGATCACTGGTGGCTTGTTGGTTTGGGGTTTTTTTTAAGAAAATTGTATTTCTAAGGTGATTCACTCTTTTTAACCCAAGGCCTGTGGAGGGCTCAGGGGATGCAGCAGTGCCAGGGCCGGGCAGGGTGGGACACCTCAGGGTGCCCCTTACACGGAGGGGCCCCAGTGGCTGGTGTTTTACACTCCCAGATGGCTGCAGTGCCTCTGGGGATGGAGGGATGGGGACAACAGGGCTGGAGCCCTGCCCTGGCTGCAGCAGCCCCAGGCCCAGGACGGAGGCAAAAAGTGCAGCCTTAGTTCTTTAAAAACTTATTTTCGGCTTCTTCCTCTCCCTCCCTCCATCCTCCCATCCCACCCTCCTGCTTTGCTCCCCCCAGCTGCTTCGCTCCCTCCAGCCAGGCCAGGACGGGAACTTCCCGGTTGCTGTAGAAACCCAGATGAAGGACACGCTTCAAACGAAAATGCCAAACAAGAAATGGCTTTGTGTGCGCCCGGACGGACGCTTTTCCTTGCTGGGATGCGGTGCGGTGACTTCAGGGCCCTTCTCCAGGGCACCCTGTGTGGACCCTGGGTGGCGGGGGGGGGCTGTGGGGCCAGCAGCGGCTCCCTGCCAGCCCCAAAACCTTGCGTTCAGAAGCAAGCAGAGGCTGGAGGTCCCTGGGGAAAGGGCTTCGAAGGTCTCTGTCCCCCACGGGGTGCTTGGAGCATCGCTGCACTGCGGGATACCGCAGCCATTAGGGTTTTGCCATCCCTGCCAGCAGCTCTGACACCATCTCCCCACCTGATCTTAGGGCTGAGGCACCCCTGAGACTGCAAGAGGCATAACCACCTGGTTTGCAAGATTTTTGGGTGGTGGAGCAGATTCCAGTTTCCAGGGCTGAGCAGGGGACAGCCCAGCTGGAGGTGG